GGAAAGGGAGTTCCTACCTCTGCTTTCCAGGAAAAAAAAATCATTTCATTGAGGGCTCACAGCAGTACTATTTACAATAGTTCAAAGGGGAAATAGCTCTAATGTCCATCAGTAGCTTAACGGATAAACAAAATGTGCACCAAGGCAGGCAGATTGCTTGGGCCCAGGAGTTCCAGATCAGCCTGAGCAACACAAAGAAACCCCATCTCTACAAAACAAGCAAGCGAGCAAGCAAATAAACAAAACACCAAAACAAAATTAGCCGGGCATGGTGGTGCATACCAGTGATCCCAGTTACTCGGGAGGCTGACGTGGGAGATCACCTGAGCCCAGGAGGTGGAGGTCGCAGTGAGGAAGAGGCTGCAGTCAGCCATGACTGTGCCACTTCCCTCCAGCCTGGTCCACAATTTTTATTTCAAAAAATAAAAACAAAATAGACTGGGTGTGGTGGCTCACACCTGTAATCCCAGCACTTTGGGAGGCCAAGGCAGGCAGATCACCTGAGCTCAGGAGTTCTAGACCACCCTGGGCAACACAGTGAAACCCCGTCTCTACTAAAAATTCAAAAAATTAGCCGGGCGTGGTGGTGCGTGACTGTAGTCTCCGCTACTCAGGAGGCTGAGGCAGAAGAATCACCTGAGCCCAGGAGGCAGTGGTTGTGGTGAGCCGAGATTGCACCACTGCACTCCAGTCTGGGCGACACAGCAAGGCTCTGTCTCCAAAATAAATAAATAAATAAAAATAATAAAAACAAAACAATGTGGTATATCCATAAATATTTAGCCATAAAAAGGAACGAAGTGCCAATACATGCTACAAAGAGGATGAACCTTGAAAGCACGATGTTGCGTGAAAGAAACCAGGCACAGAGGTCACCTTGTATGTGATTCCATGTACGTGAAATGCACAGAACAGGCAAATCCAGAGACAGAAAGCAGACAGGTGGGTGCCACGGGCTGCGGGAGGGAAGAATGGGGAGTGACTGCCTAATGGGCTTGGGGGTTTTATTTTAGGGTGATGAAAATGTTTAGGAACTAGAGGTGGAGGCTGACAACATTGTGCATGGAGTAAATACCAGTGATACGGTTAATTTCATGCAAGATGAATGTCATCTCTATAAAAAAAAGTCAAAACAATTTTGGGTGGCAGGGGTGATTAGGAAAAAAAACCACCTAAAAAGCCTCCTGGAGCAGGCAATACTGGAAAAAAGGTTGAGAAACCTTGGGGTGGAGGACAGCACAGATATTGGGCACAGAGCCCTCTGCACAGTAACAGCCACAACGGAGAAAATCGTCCTACAAAAACTGGTAGATTATTGAGGAATTCTAGGATTGTGAGATTATAATGGTTTGGAAATAGGAAAACCATACTTTCATTCAAAGTATGAATTTCTCCCAAATTCAATAACTTGCATATGAACATTTCTATTAGAATTCTTTCATTTAAAAAGTAGGTGGAGAGCCGGGCGCGGTGGCTCATGCCTGTAATCCCAGCACTTTGAGAGGCCGAGGCAGGCAGATCACTTGGGGTCAGGAGTTCGAGACCAGCCTGGGTAACATGGTGAAACTGTGTCTCTACTAAAAATACAAAAATTAG